GTCATGCTTACTGAAGATAATCCAGCAAAGAAGAACATCGCCTCCAGACCAGCACCAATCCAAACCCAGCAAATGGGGAAGCGGAATATGTGAGGCTGAAAGCCAGCAGAGTCCACCACATTCACACATGGCGACTATAAAAAACAGGGAATGATGACGGCAGCCAAGAGCAGATGAAAACAAAGATGTCTTTTTGCTTTCAACATTTTCAGTTTCCTTTACTTCCTCAGTATAATAAAAATCACAGTTTGATAAAAACCACAAACAAAATGCCTCATGAGATGCCCAGCCCTCCCCTCCATGGCCCATTCTCCTCTTAATCCTCATCACACTGAACACGAGACCAGTTATGCCAATGAAACCCTTATTTAAAGCATTAATTAGCTAAATTTTCTGTCAACAACATTGACATGACAGAGGACTGCTGTGAGCCGCGCTGGTCTGAACCCTGTATCACTTAACAGTCAACATCGCTTCATCTCATTGATGTGCAAATGTATGCATCGTAATGATTCAACATGTAATGAGATCATGGAACGTAGAGAGAGCCGCTGCTGAAACCAGCTCCTCGACTCACTGCCCCGACACCTCCTGAGCTGCAGCCTGTGCATTGGAGAAAAGCAAGAGACCTGAGCACCTGGAACCTTCAGGACTCATCAGATTTGTTTAATGTGCCGCAGTCACAGCAGAGTCGTGCTGGTTTGTTAGCGTAGAGCCTTTTCTCTGAAAACAGGCTCTCTGCAGGTTTTGTCAAGTTAAATTTAAGATTTTTTAGACCACTGTAAATGCAATTTAATACCTGTTTCACAACCATAGGATATTTGAAAAAAGAAAAATTACTGTGTAAAGTCCGCAGCACCTTAATGTTGTCATAGACCCAGAGGTCTGGGTGCTGCAGGAGCCGGCACCGAGCGGGTCGTGCTGGGTCCTTAGATGACGCTCCTGACGTTGATTTGATTTGATTTATTCTTTCAAGCATGTAAAGACAGTTGATATGTCAACACACATAATTTTACACATATCCAACAAATGCTAATCCAATATCAATTTGCTTATGCCTAGTACATGCTTGAATGGAGCAGGAAGGAGTCAGACTTATCCAGTCCTACCCCATGACATCATCTTACCATCATTGGTTTGCAAGCAGTATCTCTACATAAATAATTCTCTTCTACACCACACAAGTAATATACTAAAAAAAATATAACAGAGTGTTAACATTCTTACATAATTACATTCTTAAATAATTATCTTCTACACCACACAAGTAATATACTAAAGAATTATTACAAAGTGTTAACATTCATACACCACACCCACAATGTTCCATCTGGTTAATCATTAAGCCTGTTCTTGCATATATCTTGATTGACACATACCTTTATATTTATGTTTAAACTCGTCAATTCTATTACTATTTTTTATGTCCGCACTTAGATTATTCCATAGTTTTACCCCACTTATGGAAATACAAAATCTTTTTTTGGTTGTACGTATAGCATGAATTTTTTAACTTTAATACACTACAACATTGTTTGATGGCAGGCGTTTGCTGGAGGTTTTTAACAGCAGTTTATTTTTCTGACTTCCCACTGTTCTTATATCCAAAGTTCTGAATTCCAGTGTTTCCTTGCACATGTTGCAGCTTTAAATTCACTGTGTTTAAAGTTACAATATATAACTTATAACCCTACATCACTCCACCCTGCTACGCCCAGTGCTCCCTCACTCTGCTCCACTCTACTACAGTCCACGCTCTGCCCAGCTCCTCAGATATAGATGAGAATGCATTAAAACCCACTGATTCCAGCAGAAATAAATGAAAATGTCTGACTGGTCAGAGAGGTCAAAAACCGTTTGGAAGCTAATATCTCTGATCTGCTGCCAGTGCTGTTCTGTCAGGTTTGCTCAGCTGCACTTGCCTCTCTCACCTCTCTTACCCTAATTACTGATCACGCACACCTGTTTCTCACTCCCTTCCCACCAGCTGCACTTGATTAGACCATTGGCTATTTAGACTCGGCTCACGTCTCTTTCCAAATCCCTTGCTAGTTCGTTCTAGTTCCTAGGTTTCATATTGTTGTACTCTCTTGGTGTTGACTTTGTTTTTTGATACTGTTTGTATATTACTGTTAGATCTCGTTTATGCTCTGGATTACTGTATTCCCTACTCCTCAGACCAGCACCTGTGTTACTTCTCTTCTTGGACTGTTTCCTCCGCACCGTAATCTACTCTTCCCTTCCAGGCAGGTTGATGCACAGTCACCGTCTTACGTCTACCATTACCAACGCCTCTCTGTCGTTGCAGCAGCCACCTCTCAAACTACTGATCAGCCCAGGAGTAACCCCACCACGCCGCTTGACCCATCTTCTCCACGCCATCCATCTCCACAAGCCTCACCTCCTGCTGCTGGTCGACACCCGGTTACTCCCCATACATCAGTACCACGGACACTTAGTTTTCCAGATCACCGCACTGTATATATAAATAAATCACTGCTTGCACCGCAGTCGGCTACCTGGGTCCGCCTCTTTCTTTCGCTCCCTCACCTCCGTGTGCGGGCGAAACCTAACATGTTCAATGAGTATGAAGTTTAGAAAAATTCTGAAGAGAAGCATGAATGTCCTTGAATAGCTGAACATTCTACCAGAATGTATGCTGAAGTAGAATTTTCCCATTCATTTGAATGGGGCAAGATTTTCAAAATAAAGCTAATATTTCAAAAGTATGAAGTTTACAAAAGTTCTGAATAGCAGCATGAATGTCCTTAAGGAGCGGAACGTTTTGATAGCTGAAATTACACTGAATTAGAATTTTCCCATTCATTTGAATGGAGCAAGATTTTCAAAATAAAGCTGAATATTTCAAAAGTATGAAGTTTTGAAAACCTCTGAATAGAAGCATGGATGTCCTTAAAGACCTGAACATTCTGATACCTGAAATAGCTGAAAGTATGCTGAAGTAGTATTTCCCCGTTCATTTGAATGGGGCAAGATTTTCAAAATGAAGCTAAATATTTCAAAAGTATGAAGTTTTGAAAACTTCTGAAGAGAAGCATGAATGTCCTTGCAAAGCTGAACATTTTGATAGCTGAAAAAGCTGAAAGTATGCTGAAGTAGAATTTTCCCATTCATTTGAATGAGCAAGGTTTTCAAAATAAAGCTAAATATTTTAAAAATTTGAAGTTTAGAAAACTTCTGAAGAGAAGCATGAATGTCCTTGAAGTGCTGAACATTTTGATAGCTGGAAGAGCTGAAAGTATGCTGAAGTAGAATTTTCCCATTCATTTGAATGGGGAAAGATTTTCAAAATAAAGTTAAATATTTTAAAAATTTGAAGTTTAGAAAACTTCTGAAGAGAATCATGAATGTTCTTGAAGAGCTGAATATTTTGATACCTGAAAGAGCTGAAAGTATGCTGAAGTAGAATTTCCCCATTCATTTGAATTGGGCAAGATTTTCAAAATAAAGGTAAATATTTTCAAAATTTGAAGTTTAGAAAACTTCTGAAGAGAAGCATGAATGTCCTTGAAGAGCTGAACATTTTGATAGCTGAAAGAGCTGAAAGAACACTGAAGTAGAATTTTTCCACTCATTTGAATGGGGCAAGATTTTCAAAATAAAGCTAAATATTTAAAATGTATGAAGTTTAGAGAACTTCTGAGTAGTAGTATGAATGTTTTTGAAGAGCTGAACATTTTAATAGCTGAAATTATGTTGAAGTAGAATTTTACAGTTCATTTAAATGGGGCAAGATTTTCAAAATAAAGCTAAATATTTAAAATGTATGAAGTTTTGAAAACTTCTGAATAGTAGTATGAATGTTTTTGAAGAGCTGAACATTCTGATACCTGAAATAGCTGAAAGTATGCTGAAGCAGAATTTCGCCAATCATTTTTCGCCGTTGTTTTGTTTCAGCGGATCTTCTGTATTAACCATAAGTCTATGGAGCAATGAGACCTATGCGCTGGAATGAGCAACTTACGCAAATACCATTCATCCCATCTCAGTAACACTGAGAGCTGAATTCGTGACAATTCTCTATACGATTGTCATCTATTATATATGTATAAAGCTTAAGAATGGCATAATAGGAGCAGAAAAGTGGCAAGAGGAAGAGTAAAAGCAAGCGAGAGCTGCTAGACCGGGGAGTCACGTGACACACTATGCCAGTGCTAGCATATAGGTAACTAGCTTAGCTGCTAAGTTAGCATTAGGTCCTGTTCTCCATGCCGGGGGATCGCTACATTAATTTGTGGTGCACACAAATATGCACAATCACATTTGGTATTATGAAGATTAAGTCAATGGTCAAGCTTTATTTCGATGCCACTTTTCAATATAATAATTTAATTTAACTGACCCCTTAAATTGTATCCCCCTTCCCTTTCATTAAATAGTTTTTGAATTCCACCAGGTAATAAATTGTTCCTGGCTTTATACATAAACACAGCAGTCTTGTGTCCCACTAAATCAAAAAATTTTAACAATTTAGACTGTATGAAAGCTCCATTGGTGTGATCCCTGTATCCCAGCTTATGCACAATTCTTATCACTCTTTTTTGTAATATATACAATGGTTGAAGTGAGCTTTTGTATGTATTTCCCCAGTTTTCAACGCCATACTCTAAGTATGGTAGAATCAATGAGGAATACAAAATGCGTAGTGCTTTCCCGTCCAAAATATGTCTGACCCTCGCCAATATCGATATTTCTTTTGCTATTTTATGCTGAATATATCTGATATGAGATTTCCAGAAGAATTTGTCATCAACTATGACACCTAGAAATTTAATTTCACATACTCGTTCTATATTAGCTCCCCCGATTTTCACTTGCAGTTCGTTATCTAGTCTACGATTCCCAAATACCATAATTAGAGTAGTGTCAAGCGGAACCTATGGCATTGGAATATTCTGTTTCGGACAGCTTAATACGGACTACTTCCTTTTCCTCTTTGGAAGTCATATGGAAAAATGCGCCTACATCGCTCCAAAGGTTATCTTTATTTAACAGGTCAGTACTTGGTTAAAACGATCACAAATGAAAGCTTTAAACTTCGCTTTACTTTGTTTTTGCCAGCGAACAATATTTGTGTGATAATTTGTATAACTTTGAAGTCAGTTTGTGAAAGTTTGAGCCGTAGTACGTAAGGTCGTAGTATGTGAGCCGTGCTGCAATGCTAGTTTTGTGTTGCTTTATGCAGGTAACGCGAGAGTTCGATAACTCGGAGAAATTGATTTAATTCACTGAAAACTTGGTTAATAATTTAAGAACATGTTTGTTGTGTTGTGTTGTGTTGTGTTGTGTTATAGCTGATGTGTGACTTAATCATCTGAGATCTGATGCCATGGACCAAGAAATAGAAAGCAGGATTTGAAATTGACTTCAACATGCACCAGATAGGAAGGGTAAGCAAAGCAAAATAGAAGGATTTGCAGTTGAAAACTGAAAATTGAAGTAACAGTTGCTTATTTGAATTTGTTTTTTAAAAAGAATTCTAATGAATATTTCATTTTATGCTCCACTGTTAAAATCTGAATTTGTAAGCTATTAATTTAATCTAAAATATTTCTGAAGTGCTTTGCTCAGTTTCTTTGCACACAAGATGAATTGTTTAATGCACCATAAATATTTATTTATTTCCAATTATTGAAGAGCTTACTCCACTAAAAACCAAAAACTTCTAATTTTGTAGAATGTATCATATTCCTAAGCTGGACCAGAGAAAGATTTCTTCTGAGCAATATCAACTGCTAAGGAGACCACAGACCACTTTTCATACATGTGAGCATATTGTATTCATATGTTGTGATCTGCTGTTGATTGAATAGTTTTTTTTATAAAATCAGTCGTTTAATTACTTATCTACAAAACCTTTTTTCTTCCTAACACTTGTACAACAAATCAAGAGATTATGATGATGAGGTACTAAATGAAAATCATTTTCACAACTGTCCAGACATTGAAATCTGTAGCTGAAGAAGAGATGAACCGAATCTGCTGCCATTAGCTGAATGCCACTCTACTGACAACCAGGGGGAGCAGCTCAGTTTCTGCTGTTTTAAGAAAACATTGCCTTTTTGCAGTCTTAAACTTAATGCAATGTTTTAGTGTCCCCCCTAACACCCCCCCACAAATTTCAGAGTTTGGGTTGTATGCTGTTCTGTGTTTGACCAATGCTTACACTTGCAAAATTTACCTAAGCGACATAGTGCAAGACTGCAGAGTGTAGGATGAAAAAATCAGAATACACAAACATGAATCTGGAATTGTTCATCTTTATTATGAGTTTACCTAGAGGGGAGCTGCTGATATCTACAACCCTTGCAATACATTGCATTAGTTGTCACACGTTATTACATGGCTTGATAAAGGCATACATTAGGCTAACATCTGGTGCCAGTGCTGAAACTGTACTTATAACCAGCCAACATATCACAAAGAATGATGGTCCTTGGGTGGCTCAGAGCTGGCAAATGATGTTGGTAATGTATGTATTTTGCTGTTGTAATTTTAAATAAAACACACACACACACAGCAGTAAGGAGTGGAAGTTTCCTGTCTGCATGGATTCATTGATCCATATTGTATGGATGCTGAGTCAGCATCCATACAATAAAGACCAGGATAACATAGTATGGATGCTGAGTCAGCATCTATACAATTAACAAATTGCCAGTCTCAATTCCCTAGAGTCCAAGGTGACATCTTCAGATTCTTGTTTGTCCGATCAACACTCAAAAATCCAAAGATACTGCGTTTACTGTGATTCGTGACAAAGAAAATCATTCAACCTGCACATTTGAGCAGATAGAACCAGCTGGTATTTGGCATGCTTACTTAAAATTATTCATCAGATGTCAGTTGGTTAATTTTCTAGCAGCTCTACTTATAAATCTTGTTAGATTTCCATTAACAAACCTTTCAGAGCTGCATCAGTTCTCAAGAAGCTGCACAAGCAGCAATTAGTTTGATTATTGGAAAATGTTTCAGTATCTGCTTCCAGATGTGCATCACAATCCGTTCAGTGACAGACAACTATAGGACCCATTTTCAAGCATATCAAATATGTTTTATATTTTAATATGTTCAGGACTGCAGAAAGACCCATCGGTGCCAACCTGCCCTCCATGGAGGACCTGTACACCTCACGGGTCAAAAGGAGTACAGAGAAGATTTCTGCAGACACCTCACATCCTGGACACAACCTGTTTGAGCTCCTCCCCTCTGGACGGCGTTACAGGTCACTGTGCACCAAGACAACCAGGCACAAGGACAGTCTCTTCCTCTGGACCATCACTCATAACAGGACGACTACCTATCTGGTAACTTCCACCTAAAATGTGTGTATATACACACATATACAGTGGTGTGAAAAAGTGTTTGCCCCCTTACTGATTTCTTATCTTTTTGCATGTTTGTCACACTGTAATGTTTCAGATCGTCAAACAAATTTATATATTAGTCAAAGATAACACAAGTAAACACATCATGCAGTTTTTAAATGAAGGTTTTTATTATTAAGGGAAAACAAAATCCAAAACTATAGAGCCCTGTGTGAACAAGTGTTTGCCCCCCTGTCAAAACACTGGTTTATCGCACCTGAGTTCAATTTCTCTATTGGAGGGTTTTCGGGCATGAACTGCCTTTTTAAGGTCATGCCACAGCATCTCAATTGGATTCAGGTCAGGACTTTGACTAGGCCACTCCAAAGTCTTCATTTTGTTTTTCTTCAGCCATTCAGAAGTGGACTTGCTGGTGTGCTTTGGATCATTGTCCTGCTGCAGAACCCAAGTTCGCTTCAGCTTGAGGTCACAAACGGATGGCCGGACATTCTCCTTCAGGATATTTTGGTACACAGCAGAATTCATGGTTCCATTTATCACAGCAAGTCTTCCAGGGCCTGAAGCAGCAAAACAGCCCCAGACCATCCCATTACCACCACCATATTTTACTGTTGGTATGATGTTCTTTTTCTGAAATGCGGTGTTACTTTTACGCCACACATAATGGGACACACACCTTCCAAAAAGTTCAACTTTTGTCTCGTCTGTCCACAGAGTATTATCCCAAAAGTCTTGGGGATCATCAAGATGTTTTCTGGCAAAACTGAGACGAGCCTTTATGTTCTTTTTGCTCAGCAGTGGTTTTCGTCTTGGAACTCTGCCATGCAAACCATTTTTGCCCAGTCTCTTTCTTATGGTGGAGTCATGAACACTCACCTTAACTGAGGCAAGTGAGGCCTGCAGTTCTTTGGATGTTGTTGTGGGGTCTTTTGTGACCTCTTGGATGAGTTGTCGCTGTGCTCTTGGGGTAATTTTGGTCGGCCGGCCACTCCTGGGAAGGTTCTCCACTGTTCCATGTTTTCGCCATTTGTGGATAATGGCTCTCACTGTGGTTCGCTGCCGTCCCAAAGCTTTAGAAATGGCTTTATAACCTTTTCCGGACTGATAGAGCTCCATTATTCTCTTTCTCATTTGTTTTTGAATTTCTTTGGATCTCGGCATGATGTCTAGCTTTTGAGGATCTTTTGGTCTACTTCACTTTGTCAGGCAGGTCCTATTTAAGTGATTTCTTGATTGCGAACAGGTGTGGCAAGAGAAATTGAACTCAGGTGCGATAAACCAGTGTTTTGACAGGGGGGCAAACACTTGTTCACACAGGGCTCTATAGTTTTGGATTTTGTTTTCCCTTAATAATAAAAACCTTCATTTAAAAACTGCATGATGTGTTTACTTGTGTTATCTTTGACTAATATATAAATTTGTTTGACGATCTGAAACATTACAGTGTGACAAACATGCAAAAAGATAAGAAATCAGTAAGGGGGCAAACACTTTTTCACACCACTGTATATATTTGATAAGTACTTTTATTTCTTTTTTTCATTTTTGTTCCTAAACACACATTCCTTCTTCTTATTTTCTCGTTGAATTACAGAACATTGTACATACACACAGACAGCCGCTGGACCGGAGTCAAATTCCGGGCCAATAAAGCTGATTCTGATTCTGAACTGTCCTGTCTTACATAGACAGGCTACAAACAACCAACCAGATTAAATGTAAGACGAAGACAGGACTACAGTCAGTCTAAACAAGGTCTGAGGAGGGAGAGAAAAAGTGTGTGTCTGTGTCTCCAGGTTATCCAGTCAACCAGCCTTAACTTGCCTTCACAGAGAATCACACGCTGTGCTAAACACACACACACACACACACACACACACACACACACACACACACACACACACACACATATAACCACATACTCTAGAGCGAGCCAGTGGCTGCAGGAAATGTCTCTTGGCAGCTACACACACAGGAATACTCCAGCCATTTTTCACAGCAGAATAATGTAGTTCACTGTCAGCTATTAGTGCACAAACAAGCACCCACGCATGCAGTTATGATGCTTTAAACAAATTTTGTCAAATCTACACAAACAAGGTGTCTGATTAACAGGATCTGTGGGTTTTTGAGTCTCCTCACAGCAAAACAGTCCGTTTCTCCACAATTATCGAGCTTACTCCAGGTCATCCTCCGGTCCACATTGCGCCCGCTTCATTCACAAACATCTGAGACGACAACGCCAGGCACCAAAGCGAATCTGATATCATCTGCTCACAAACACTTGAATCAGTGTAAACAGTTTAGCAGACTGCGAGTTCAAGTCCTGGAGGAGATCTCTCTGGAGGGAGGCAGACAGAGATGGGTGAACTCGAGTTCATCCACGAAAACAGAAATATTCCTGAATCTCATTTTAGCTCAGAAGATATTTGAGTCAAATCTCTGCAGAGAATAAACCAAGCAGTGGAGGGATTTAGACATTTTGACAGGAGGAGTTTGTCAAAACAACACAAAAAGATGCAGAGACATAAAAATAAAGATGTTTCCCAGCAGCATGTGAACGCACAACATGTCAGTCGCAGCCAAGATGGTGTTAATCAAATGACACTCGGTGATATTCAACTGAGCAACACTAAACATCTGCAGCATCTCGAATATGAGGAGCTGGTGATTTTCCCTGTCGTATCATTACAAACTGACCTGAACTGTGGAAAACTAGGATGGATATTTGTAAGAACTGGTGGTGTTTTGTTGGCCATTCAGTTACCTGATTATTCAAGCCAGTAATCTGCAAATTAGTCAGGAATTACAATGATCATTAATATTTAGCAGTTATACCATATTATTGAAAGAAAGTACTTTTTCTTCTTATACTTTATTAATCTCCATGGAGAAATTCTTACTGATGGCAGCGCTGTCAATCGCTGCCTGGCCCCCAGGGGTAACTAGGGAATCAGTGTCTTGCCCAAGGACACCGACATGTGAAGTGGGGAGACGGGGAATAAAACCACCAACCTTCCGATTGGGAGACAACCGTTCTACATCCACAGCCAAAAACTTAGGATTCCTACTCAGTAGATCTGAAAAAGGGTGCAATGATTTACTACAGTTTGCACTGCTGTGTGCGTCAGGCAGCTCTGTCGCCTACAATCAGTACAGTACGTGACAGCTTTTGGTGGCACAGGCGGGTTGTGGTCTGCACCGATGAAGTAATGAGCTCTGAGATCCAGCCCTGCACGACAACCTGGAAACACAGGAATCAAAAGCAGAGGCTGTGGCTGAAGAAGGACTTTCACAGTATGAGCCAGTATGTGGACTGGGACAGCACAGGAGCATAAAGCTGGGATTAGTGTGTGTTCCCACATTGTCTACATTCCACAGTCAACACTCACTGCATTGTTATTACTCACAAACCACCTGGTCTCGTCACCTGGATACCCGAGTGTGTGTATACATATTTCGCTGTGGTCATGTGTGCCAATTTTATCTCGATACCATCGGCCCTCCAAGCTTCAAAGGTCTGTCTGAGGGTTAACACTTGTTTTTAGAGTTAAATGATGCGGCCGGTGACTTGGTATGTTTCGCACAAACCCCATACAAAAACCAACAGCACCAGGGGAGTGTGGTATATCACTGTAAAGTGTGTGACCCCGGTTTAGCTTTTTGCTCTGTGCCTAAACCATTAAACACACCCCA